GAAGAAGAAGAAGAAGAAGAAGAAGAAGAAGAAGAAGAAGAAGAAGACCACTGCCTACAGAGTATAAAGTTAGAATGACATTGTAAATGTGAATTCCTTTAAATGAAAGTTAAATCACTTTACAGTCCTGCTAGAAGAAATGTTTGCATTGACTGTTCAGCATATTATCCTTGCTTCTTTTTCACAGGAAAAACCACTTCCTCTTTTTCGAATATTATTTTTTTTCTCAATATTCGCGAAGAGCAAAGTTGTCATGCCCTTGTTGGAGTCTGATACTGAGGGGGAGATTGAGCAGCTGACAGGGAGTGGGAGTGTGGTTCTGGTGGCTGTGGAGGAAACAGGGGAAGGGCACAGTCCGGCCCAGGGCCATCCCCTCTTCATCCTAGGGCACACAGGGAGGAACGGAGAAGGGAGGAACGTGGCTTGCGAGAAAGAAGACGGCCCTGATCCCTTTCATTGGTTGCAGCTGGGAGAACGGGATATAAGTGGGGCGTTTGCACACAGCTCCTTGCGGGAAGCAAAGCGTGTATTATCTTGGTCAGCCTTATCTGGGTTTTGGGTTCCTCCCAACTGTGGGTGCTGCATTATCCTTTGAAAGTCTGCAATTTATCATCCTGGCCTGCCGTGTTAATTATTTCTGCGTGGTTTGTGTTGGTTTTTTAAAAAATTCTAATTATCTTTACTTTGGGTTCGGACTGCATTTCTGCCCTTTGTAGACTGTCTTTTTGAAGAGTTTGTTATCCAGCCAAGGATAATTGGACATTGGGGTCAAGTTGGAGCCATTAAAGGGAATTTTTCTATATTTGTGACTTTGTTATTTTTGTGTCACGCTGCGAGTCATCACACAAGGCTCTTTCTTTAGGAATAAATCCCATTTTGTTCACAGATCATAATCTTTGAAGTGCAGCTTCAAAATGCAGATTGACCATTGCGTGTGCTTCAGATATGTCCCTTATTTTGTTTTTAAGCAGCAATCCACCATTTTTTTCATGCTGCATTTTGAATAAAGTGCAAACTTCTATCTAATGGATAGAAAAATTCAACTCTGGAGTAATGAAACCCAGGTTCAAAAGTTCAGTTTTAGCCACAGAAGCTCACTGGTTGACTTTCGGTTAGTCACTCTCAGCCCAATCTACCTCATGCGGTTGTTGTTGCAAGAAAAAAACAGGAGAATGCTATGTATACAGAGGTGGTATTTAGCAGGTTCTGACCAGTTCTAGAGAATCAGTAGCTGAAATTTTGAGTAGTTTGGAGAACCAGCAAATACTGCCTCTGACTGGCCCTGATCCCATCTATTTTCTGCCTCCTGAGTTCCAGCTGGACCAAACAAAGAGTTTTAAAAATAGTGTAAGGAAGTTCAACAGAAGGTAGCTGGAACCACCTGAGAAATAAAGCTCATTTCTTACCATATCTGGCACTCCTCCTCCCTCTGTCCTATCTGTCTGTCTGTCTATCTATCTATCTATCTATCTATCTATCTATCTATCTATCTATCT